TCGATCTTTTCAAGATCAGCAATCACCTCCATCTTGCCTCATTAAATAGTTTTCAGGTCTCATCTTCCTGCATTCTTAACATTTGATGTATGGTTACTCTCTGCTTTCCGAAACTCTTTATTTGACTTTCAGAGGATCATACTCCACCCTGGTTTTCTTCCTACTTTACCTCTCAGTCTCCTGAGTTCTGTAGTTCCTCTTAATCTTCCTTCCTTTTAAATATTATAATCCCCAGGCCTCAATTTCTCTATATATACTCTTTTGATGATATCATTTAGTGTCAGTTTTAAACAACAAACAGCTGGTAACTCTCAGCTTTGTACCTTCAACTCTAACCTCCTTTCTGAGCTCCAGACTCCGTGACCAAAAGCCCACTATTTGACCTCTCCACTGGAGTATTCATAGGCCTCTTTAACTTAACACATCCAAAACAGAATTTTTGACTTCCTGCAACTGCTCCAATTTTTCCCATCTCGATATATGCCAATAGCATTTACCCCAGGTCAAAATACTGGAACCATCCTTTCTTCATTTGCTATCTCACACCTAAACCATCAGCAAATTCTGTCATTTCTATCATCATTAAATTTTCCCAAATCTTATCACTTCTCAATATCTCTGCTGTTACTGCTCTAGTTCAAATTACCATCCATCTTTTGGTCTATAGCTATAATCTCCTAACTGGTAGTCACTCCCTTCTTGTTTGCTTACGATCAGTCCTCTATATGGTAGCCAGGATGATCTTTCTACAGCATAAAGGAGGTTATGTTACTCTCTTGCCCCAAATGCCCTAATGGCTTTCCTTCACACTCTGAATAAAATCCATGACCTATAAAATCATGACAATTTTTGGCCTCAGCCTGTCTCTCCAATGGCATTTCCCACTACATCTGCCCATCTCTCTCAGCTCCAAGAACACTAGCTTTTTTTCAGTAACTTTTCTCAAGAGACACTTGTAATTTCTCACATATCAAGTTTATTCCAGCTCTTTTTCCAGATCTTTGCATCATTTGCACCTTCACTTACTGTCTTTGAGCAAATGTTTCCTCAGAGAAGCATTCCCTGACTACTCCTAAAATGTAGCCCTGATTCCCAACATTCCATATCCCCTTACTCTGCTTTAATTTTCTTCATAGTACTTATATTTTATCATATTATTTACTTGTTTACTGTATGTTTCTTATGTAGGCTTTGAAAAGACTTTGTCTATCTCATTTACCTCCATAATCCTAATGCATACAGTAGTATCTGGCATAGACTAGGAAGCTCAGAACTACGGTTTATCACAAAGGAAACTGGCATACATTCTAGAAGGAATGTCTTACAAGTTAGTAGTCTACAATATGCAGGGAGAAGGTAGGGTGGCCAACCATCTCACCATATCAAAGACTTATGGGTTTCCCAGTCCACAGGACTTTTTTTTTGAAACCAGAATAGTCCCAGGCAAGCTGGACTGTTGGTTACTCTAGAAAAAGTCTGTATTTTTTTTAAAGGGGATGAACTCTACTTGAGTCCAATCAAATGGACTCATACTTGGATAATAACAAACATAGCCACCTCTACTCACTATTTACTACATACAGACACTGTGCAAGTACTTCTGGTAAGAAAATCCTAGCTTCACCAGAATTTTTAAGGGATACGCATTTTATCTCCATAATACAGAATAGGAAACTCCTGGTACTGACAGAGTTAAGAAACTTGCCTGCAGGTAAACAGTTTGAATGAAAGGACTATAGAACCAGTAAAAATAAACAACTTGGTAAGGACCTGAATCAACATTTGGAGCTGACTTTAAACAGTTCCGAAGGAAAGAATTTGTCCTCGTATTCATTTAGCTTGAGATTTTTTAATCAGTGTTATTCTTTAAGGGAAGGTTAGCAGGACTCAGTCAAAAGAGGTCTGGGATTTCTACAAAGTTTGTGATAGTTGATCTTGTTCTGCGAAGCGGGGGAAAGTGAGCTCTCCAGATTCTGAATAGGACCTCACTGACTGAGTTCATACTGCTAGTAATTACAACTCAGTTCAAATTCCATTACCAGGGGACGCCTGGGTGGCTCAGTTGGTTAAGCAGCTGCCTTCGGCTCAGGTCATGATCCCAGCGTCCTGGGATCGAGTCCCACATCGGGCTCCTTGCTCGTCAGGGAGCCTGCTTCTCCCTCTGCCTCTGCCTGTGCTCGCTCTCTCTCCCTCTCTCTCTCTCTCTGACAAATAAATAAATAAAAATCTTAAAAAAAAAAAAAAATTCCATTACCAGAACTTAAGTCCAAACTCAGTTTTTCTTTAATTTTTTACCTACTTTTTTAAGGCAGTGAAATAACTACAAAACAAAATATAGGAAGATATCAATTATATAAAGTCCTGGATGCTCTGGTCTGAATTTCATCTCTCATGCTACCTCACTCACAGGAATAATGTAGGGTTAGGGCTAGTAGGCTTTGGAGTAAAACAATCCTAGATTTGTGCCCTTGCTTCATAATTAACCATCTTAGCAAGCCATTTTGCCACTTTGACCATTTTCCTCCTCACAGGGTGATAATTAAGTGAGGTAGTATAGGTTAGGGTGCTTAGCACAGAGCTAGGTGCTCAATGAATGGTGGCTATTAATAGTAATAATAGCTTCACCTGAATTTATCATAATTATTTTAGGATACTAAAAGAATACTCCATCTATTGATAAGAGGTGACAGTGGAGTTTGGGTTTTATTTTAAAGATATTGGGGAGGCATTAAAGTATTTTCATCAGCAAAGTGGTAATAAATGAAAGGAAACAATAAAGAAGCCGCAAAAGATTTTAAGAAGGAGTGAGCAGAGAGAGAAGGGAAATATCAAGGCATGTATTATCTTAAGGCCAGGAGAGAAGTGGGGACAACCTCATTAAATGATACAAGAGGGAAAAATAAGACCTGCAAAGTGTCCACTGAATGGCTGATACAGAGAACAGTTAAGGCCTATTAGAGCATAGCCATTTTAAATGATGCCATCTGTCTGCTTGCAATAAAGCCACATTTCTTAGTTTCTCCACTGCATGCAAAGACACAATCTACCTCTCCTTTGAGTCCTGAGCAAAAATTTTCAACTGTTTCCCTTTGCCTATGGAATTAAATTATGGGTTCCATAGCCTATTGTTCTAAGCTCTTCACAACATAGCCCCAACCCAACTTTCTATCCTCTTTGTCCCCTTCTACCCTAAAGACGTGTAATTTTCCTTTCAACTAAATGTCTTGCTGCTCTCCAAATATAAAAACAGTAGGCACTTTCTCAAATTCATGCTTTTATTTGTATCCTAGTTATAGAACTTAATGAATTTGCTTCAGAGTATAATTATTTGTATATCTACAATTACAAAAATCTCAGAATCATAAAAAAACTTAAGAAAATATTTATCTTACAAAAATCTTGTCAGTTTTTTCACTAGTCTGTGACAAAATGAGAAAATATGAATATTTTGATGTATCCTTCATAAATATACAAATTTATTTGGTTCAAAGGACTATCCTTAAAGTAGAGACTATGTCCTCTTAAGTTTTGTTTTGGTGTTGAAACATCCTTTCTGGAGTCTCTGGGTGGCTCAGTCGTTACGCGTCTGCCTTTGGCTCAGGTTATGATCCCAGGACCCTGGGATCAAGACCACATCGGGCTCTGTGCTCAGTAGGAAGCCTGCTTTTCCCTCTCCCACTCCCCCTGCTTGAGTTCCCTCTCTCACTGTAGCTCTCTCTGTCAAATAAATAAAATCTTAAAAAAAAAAAAAGAAAAAGAAACATCCTTTCTTTTACAATACGATGGTGATATAAAGAGCATTTTTTAATGTCTGTACTTGCTAATTTAAAAATTGGTAACTTTGGAGCACCTGGGTGGCTTAGTCAGTTAAGCTTCTGACTCTTGATTTTGGGTCAGGTCATAATATCAGGGTATGGGATCGAATCCCACATTGGGCTCCGTGTTCTGTGTGAGATTCTCTCTTCCTCTCCCTTTCTCCCTGCTCACTTGCTCTCTCTCATTCTCTGTCTCTCTCTAAAAATCAATCAATAAATGAAATCTTTAAAATAACTATAAAATAGGGCACCTGGGCAGCTCAGTCAGTTGAGTGTTTGTCTTCGGCTCAGGTCATGATCTTAGGGTCCTGGACTCGAGGCCCACATCAGGCTCCCTGCTCAGTGAAGAGCGGGCTTCTCCCTATCCCTCTGCTACTCTCTGTTTCTCTCTCTCTCTCTCTCTGTGTCAAATAAAGAAATAAAACCTTTAAAAAACTAAAATACCTATAAAATATTGGTAACTTTATGTAAATTTGCAAAATTCTCAAAGTTCATGAAATCAAAAAAGCGAGAGACCATTGGTCTCTTCTAACTCTTACTTGACCTACAAATTCCCTCTGCAACATCTCTAACAAGTTATGCAAACCTCTGATTGAACACTTCCAGAGCCAGTGAGCTCACCTTCTCCTAAGATAGCATATTCCATTTTTTCACAGCTTTACCTATGAGAAAGTCTTACCTCAGCTCCACTTCAAGATCAAAAAGCTGTTTGAGGGGGGCCCTTTTTATTTCTTACTTTGGAATTTCCTACCTTATGCCTTTTCCATAGTAGTCATTCAAAAATACTTCTTAGTTGACATTCTCTAAAGGAATCTAAGTTTGATAGAAAATAATAATTTATGATCCTCCAAAAACATTTAATGATGGGGCCTTGGAAAGGACGATAATACCCTTTCCCTGCAGGAGGTGTATTTACAAAGTAGGAGGATTAAAGCTTTGGGGTGGAGTTTATATTGTTTTCCTTAGGTATTAAGTCTATTCATCAATACAGCACTAAAGCCTTCCAAACTTCCTTTGAAAATTGCCTGAAACCCCTGGGGAAATTATTATATTATTTTGCTCTAATTTTGTTTTATAGCTTTTCATATATAATCACTTTAGGAAAAAAACAATCTAGGAGATAAAAAGTTGATATGTGATTTGATTATATTCATTTGTAATTTTGTGTTATTTCTTTTTCTAAAGCTGGGGCCTCAACTTTGGTGAGCAAGGATATATTCGGATGGCAAGAAACAGTGGAAATCACTGTGGGATTGCTAGTTATCCCTCTTACCCAGAAATCTAGAGGATCTCTTCATTTCATAACAAGTCCATAAAATATAACACTTTTTCTTAACTTAATTTTACCTGCTATAACCTGTAGAAATAAGTGTGTCATGATCAACGTACATTTACTGTATGAATAGAATATGTAGTTTGACTATTTTTTTAGCTTTGCAGATATTGGAAAAATTTTGCTACATAAACTAATAATGTACTGTCTGGGTGCGCCTGGGTGGCTCAGTGGGTTAAAGCCTCTGCCTTCAGCTCAGGTCATGATCCCAGCCAGGGGCCTGGGATCAAGCCCCACATCGGGCTCTCTGCTCAGCAGGGAGCCTGCTTCCCCTCCTCTCTCTGCCTGCCTCTGCCTACTTGTGATCTCTGTCAAATAAATAAAATCTTAAAAAAAATAATGTACTATCTGTACGAGAATAGGTCAACCTAAGAAATCTGTCATGTTTGTTTTGCCACTGTCTTATTTTACATGCTTTGTCTTTTTAGTTCCCTGGTATTGTTTTGTAATATGATGGCATATAAATGCTGAATAAATATCTCTTTTCAACTTTGTATTCGTACCACATACCATTCCTTTCTTATCCTTAGGTAACTATTATAATCTATCATGAAGATGTAAATTGTAGTATGCTGGTGAAGGGCTTTGGCAAATATAATGGAGGAAACTACTGGGTTACTAATGTCCTGAGGGCTGATATGGTATCTTTGCACATTAAAGGATTAGATCATTTTTTTAAGGTAGGCAAATACTTAAGACGTAATCTGTTTTCAAGCGCTTCGGAAGAATCATTTTAATGATCAACAGTTAATATACTAATACAAATTATTTTTACCTAGTCATTAGCAATTTGGCCAGAACATATTGGGGGCAAATAATTAAGTCAACCTGAATAAAATAACCAAACTGCGTCTCTCTTAAAATATTCCATTACTGGCGTACTTGGGTGGTTCAGTTGGTTAAACGACCCATTCCTGGATTTCAACTCGGGTTGTGATCTCGGGATTTTGAGTTGGAGACCTACAACAGGCTCTCTGCTGGGTATGGAGCCTGCTGAAGATTCTCTCTCTTTCCCTTTCCCTCCACCCCTCCCCCTCTAAAAAAGTAAATGCATAAATTTTAATCAGTTCATGCCTACAACATGAAAATGTGAGGGATGATGTAATTAGTTGATCTTAAAATGAACTTAATTTCACTATAAAGAACATTTTATTTTTTAAAAAATATGTATTTATCTATTTGCAAGAGAGGGTAAGTGCGTGAGATGGGCGAGGAGTAAAAGGGAGGGGAGAGGAATGAGGAAAGGATCCCAAGCAGACTCTGCACTGAGTATGGAGGGGCTCAATCTCACGACCCTATGACCTGAGCCGAAACTGAGTTAGATGCTCAACCAACTGAGCCACCCAGGTGACCCCATAAAGAATATTTTAAAGAACAAGAATTGCTAACTATAAAAACATGAACATAATATGTGACTACCATCAAAAGTGTAGAGAAACATTGTAATCAAAAAGTATTTAGGGGGCACCTGGGTGGCTCAGTGGGTTAAGCCTCTGCCTTCGGCTCAGGTCATGATCCCAGGGTCCTGGGATCGAGCCCCGCATCGGGCTCTCTGCTCAGCAGGGAGCCTGCTTCCCTTCCTCTCTCTCTGCCTGCTTCTCTGCCTACTTGTGATCTCTGTCTATCAAATAAATAAATAAAATCTTTAAAAAAAAAAAAAAGTATTTAGTCAAGGGGTAACTGGGCTCAGTTCATAGAGCATGGGATTTTGATCTCGGGGTTGTGAGCTCAAGTCCCATGTTGGGCATAGAGCTTACTTAAAAAAAAAAAAAGAAAAAGAAGAAAAATGAAAGTATTTATTAAAAAAAATATTTAATTGATTATTCTTTATTTTGCCCACAATTTTTTAAGCACTGTAAATGGAACAAAAACATAGGTAGGTTTTAACTTTTGTAAGTCTGATGAAGCTTATAAATTCTTTCTCAAAATAATGTTTTTAAATACATAAAATAAAATATATAGGAATGCAAAGAAAGCCAACTTTATTGAAATACAGTTATTAATATGTTAAAATATAGGGGCGCTTGGGTGGCTTAGTTGGTTAGGTGTCTGCCTTCAGCTCAGGTTATGAACCTGAGGGTCCTGGGATCAAGTTCGGAGTCTGGGTTCCTGCTCAGCGGGGAGCCTGCTTCTCCCTCTCCCTCTGCTTGCCACTCCCCTACTTGTGCTCCCTCTTTCCCTCTCTGTCAAAAAAACAAAATCTTTTTAAAAAATGTTAAAATAGGGGCGCCTGGGTGGCTCGGTGGGTTAAGCCGCTGCCTTCAGCTCGGGTCATGATCTCAGGGTCCTGGGATGGAGTCCCGCATTAGGCTCTCTGCTCGGTGGGGAGCCTGCTTCCCTCTCTCTCTCTGCCTGCCTCTCTGTCTACTTGTGATCTCTCTCTGTCAAATAAATAAATAAAATCTTTAAAAATAAATAAATAAAATATATTTTTAAAAATGTTAAAATATATATCTGTGCCACAGTAATACATATACTTCTTTATAATGAGAATTAATAACCATCTTAAATTTGAAATAGTGATGAGTATAAATGATACTTGACAGATATCTGGAAAAACTATAATGATATATATATGTGTAAATATCTGACTTTTGGTGATAAAATTACAAGTATTGCTAATATTGTTTTATGGACTATACTCAGAATTGAAGGAAATGATAACTTTCAGTTAGAGGTTAATGAAAATAAAGCTATAATTTTTTTCCCATACAAATTATCTGAATTCTATCCATGGACTCTGGATCCTAGGGGAAGAACCCTTGAAATAAATAAACAGAGTAGGGAAATATTTAACAAAGATCTTTATTCTATTTCCAACACAAAGGGAAATTTTTAGCAATAAATAATTTCAAACTTATAGAAATAAACAGCTTTTTAAAAAATTAAAAGTTTAAAGCAAAAAAGAAAAGAATAAACTTATTGTGGAACCTCTATACAGGGATGGTTTGAAGAAAATAAAAAGGATACTAGCTAGAAAGTACTATAGAAAGTACATATGTGAGGTGATATAAAACCTTGGACAATTTAAGCAGCTGTGAAAAAAGAAAAAGAAACAAGCAAATTTGGGAGTCATTATAGAGTAAAAGTTGACAAATCTTTTTTTTTTAAGATTTTATTTATTTATTTGATGGAGAGAGAGAGATCACAAGTAGGCAGAGAGGCAGGCAGAGAGAGAGGGGAGAAGCAGGCTCCCCGATGAGCAGAGAGCCCGACACAGGGCTCGATCCCAGGACCCTGGGATCATGACCTGAGCCGAAGGCAGAGGCTTAACCCACTGAGCCACCCAGGTGCCCTGAGCTGACAAATCTTTTAACTGCATAATAAAGGTAAACAAGGATTTAAACATTGCAGAACTAGGAGTCCACTGGACAATGCCACTATGAACATATAAGAAAAATATGAAGGCAGAAACTATTTCCTTGAAAAAAATTATTCTTTTCTTACTGTTCTTAGATGAGAATCTTGATGATGATCAACTCTAAGTTACCAGAGAGACACATCCATCCATCTTTAAAAATGAAAGCAATCCTTAAAGGACATAACTACTCTGGGGCACTTGGATGGCACAGCTGGTTAGGTGTCCTACTTCGTTTTGGCTCAGGTGGTCATCTCTAGGTTGTTATCTCAGGGTCATGAGATTGCCTGCCTCAGGCACTCAGCACAGAGTCTGCTTAAGAGTCTCTCCCTCCATCCCTCCCCTACCCTCACACTCTCTCTCAAATAAATAAATATTTAAGGAAAAAAAGAAAATGAATCAAGATGAATCAGTGTATCTTTGTTGATGCCTGCCCCCCTACCCAACCTTTAATTTGTTCTCCAACCAAGACCCCGAAGTGTTCATTCACAAATATAAATTTGATAATATCTTTCCCAATTGTAAGCATTCAATAGCTCCCATTACACCTAAAGTAAAACACAAATTCCTTAACATTGACTATTAAATTCTGCATATCCCGGCTCTCCTATCTTATCTGGAGTCAGTTTTCCTCATTTGCTATGCGCTAATCCATACTGGCCTTCCTCCAGTTTTTGAAGCACTTCTTATATTAGGACCTAGTTTTCCAGCCACACTCTTCCAATAATTTCCACTCATCCTTGTGGTTGTAACTCAAATGTCATTTCCTTACAGAGGCCTTCCATGAACCACCTTCTCATGTAAATTGTTTCTTTTCCTTTGACTATCATTGAATCCAGTACTTTTCTTTCAAATCTTATATCAAATTATAACTATATATGTTATTTATATACTTATTTGTATAACATCTCTCTTCTTCATTAGATCATCGGCTGAACTAGGGCAGAAAACATGACTCTTGTTTACTTACCACTTTGTACTTAGAACATAGAACAGTGCCTGCCTGAAAGTAGTCTGTCACTATTTATTTGAAAGGAGAAAATACACGAGTGATGGATAAATGCGAATGAATGACCAGCACATTGTAAGAGTTAGAAGTTAAACTATGTCCTAATAGTTCTTTCATAGTAATAGAAATCTAACACTTGTAGAAACTTTTAAAATGTCTATTAAAATTTAAAGGAAACTATTATTCAAAACTTTCTTTTCCTGCTTCCCTCTCTTTCTTACCCCTCCTAGGCCTTTCTTTGATCTGGATTTTGCTCCACTTCTTTTCTGCTTCATTGAGATAAAGATAATTAATGAGATTGCCTTAATAAAATAGATAAAGATAATGAATGAGATTGCCTTAATAAAACAGTAAGCTAAAATTTTATAATATTCAGGTAGCTATCAGTTCTTGAGATTATTTACTTGTTTAATTTTTTTTTAGTACAGCTAATATATTCACATGGCTCAAAAATTAAAAAGGATTGCAGGGGAGGAAAAAAAATCTTTTTTCTACTACCCTACTAGATTCTGTCACTGGAGCCATGTAAATTGGACTGACAAAGGGTAGATTAACAATAGAAAAGCATACATATTTAATATAAGTTTTACATGACACAGGAGACTTCATAAGGAAATGAAGACAAGAGGGAATAAACTTAACTGTTTTTATACTACATTTGATGAAGAATGGAAAGTCCTGGGGATGCCTGGGTGGCTCAGTCAGTTAAGCATCTGCCTTTGGCTCAGGTCATGATTGAAGGGTCCTGGGATCAAGTCCCACATCAGACTGCTTGCTCGGCAGGGAGCCTGCTTAGCCCTCTGCCTGCTTCTCCCCCTGC